TAGTGGATGACAACTCAAACAAAAGATACGGTGAACCTATGATGCACAACCAATTTGTCTACAAAGCGAATCTTTGCACACACGTCAGCTGCCTGTAACATCGCAGCTGACTATTTGATTTAGTGACAAATCATGTAATTTCCATCTAAGCAAAACTGTTAACATATACAAACAATCTAATAACACTTTTGATTTCACATTATGTGATGTGCAACCAATTTGTTTATAAAGCGAAATTTTGCACACGCGGTAGCTGTAACATCGCAGCTGAGTAACTGATTCAGGACAACTCAAGTAATTCGAACTAAGCAAAGAAGTTAACATGTTCAAACAATCTTCAAAGCGTAATCATTCTATATGTAGGTAGTTACATTTCACAGCAAGGTAATACATACTATAGTGTTCTTAATCTAACTTCTTCAATGTGAACGTTACTATAGAACCAAATAAAACTGAAGCTAGCAGACAGGAACCAGAGACTATGTCAGTGGAAGTAAGTCACAAAAGCCATGTCTATCTTCATAAACTCGCTAAACCCATAAAACCAGTCACTCTTACTCTGTCAAGCATTTTCACAAACACCTTATCTACTCAACAAAGTTCTCATCTTTACGCTGTAAAAACAATAAATAAGTTTAAAAGAAGGAGAAACCTGAGTGAGCTTAGCATTGAGAAGACCCTCGCTGTAAGCTCCTTCGGCGGGAGAACGATTTTCAATAGCAAAGACATCGTTCTTATACCAAAGCAGCAATATCGTCTCATCGTCTTGGATAATCACTCTCCGTTCACCTTTCGGAAGCGCGGATAACGGCACCACCGGCACCCAGTTTCTTCCGGGAGAAGTAACGGAAGACGACGAGGAAGAAGAAGAAGGAGAAACTTCCGTCGCCTCGCATCTGACGATTCCTACACTCCTCTGCTTGGAGTTTTGGTTTAGTCGGTAAGTGAGAGTGAACTGGCGGTTAGGGCGGGGATAGAGCGGAAAGGTTTTGGGTAATGACGTGGCGCGGGTGAAAGAGGGAGGAGGAGGGGTGAAGGAGTAGTTACGTGGGAGAGAGGGAGATGCGGTGGTCGCCATGGAGGAGAGTGAGAGAGAGAAGCGTGAGATGATAGAGGAAGTGCATTTGTCCACACACACAAGGAAGAGACAAGTGGATAACGATGGAAGAAGGATGAATTGATGGTAGCCACACTTTTTTTATATGGGCCTCTGTTCTGCCAACACGCCTCGCTTCCTCAGATATTTTTTATCTAATATGGGCCTTTAGATGAAAAGCCCATAACTTTCCCCATGAACTTACCTTTATGGCTGGCTTCTTTTGTAGTGTCCACTTTGAACTCGTATTATCTCAGGTTATGCGCAAGTAAACCGATCAGGAGAAGTCTCTTACTGTCTCAGGGAGATGTTGCTTGCTTCAAGGGCTATGCAATGCTGGGGAATTCCCTTGTAGATGTTTATGCAAAATCAGGAGATATTAGCCCTGTTCGTTTGGTTGCCGCAGGTTTCTGCGGCTGCGGCTGCGGCTGAGTCTGCGGCTGCGGCTGCGTTTGTTCATTTGGTTGTTGTTCGTTTCGTAGACGCAGCCGCAGACGCAGACTCAGCCGCAGCCGCTGATTGGTGTTCGTTTCGTAGACGCAAGTGATTAACTCAGACGCCAGACGCAGTCGCAGGAATGTAATTTATGTTGTTCGTTTGACAGACGCTGCGGCTATTTTCATTTAATTCATATTTTAATTTAAAAAAATTGTAAAATCATATTTTTAATAAATAAAATATATTTTAAATTTGTCAAATTTTATTTTAAATAAATAAAATGAAGTTTAAATATATTTACATCCATCAAGATATTATATTTAATTGGTAATAAAATTTTAGTCAAATATATAAATTTAACAACATTTTTTTATTTTTAATTGGTAATAAAATTTTAGTCAAATATACAAAAAATAACAACATTTTTTTGTCATAAATCATAAGATAAATTATCTAATTATACAGAAATAACAACATTTTCATTGTAAGATATTTTGTCATTTACTTATAAGTAAATATAGCATTTTCACAAAGTATGTATAAATTATCTTTATATTATACTAACATCTACAATTTAGAATCTAAACTTTTATTTACATAATTTATATTCCCTAATTTTAAAAAAAAAATTCAAAGAAACATTATTTAGAAATAAGAGAACAAAAAGAAGTATTTAAGATAAAGAAAATAAGAAACTATAGAATTTACAGTGAGTTATCTAGTCTACAAAAATATTTAATATTCATAACTCAAGTGGTCTTTCTTTCTTTCTCTCTCACGACCTATCAACACTCTGGTGTGTCCTCTTCTCTTGCTTCTTTCTTTATAGACACAACAAGACATGATGGGTTTTGGGAACTTGTCTATGTTCCAATGCGGGTGCTATCATCTGAACTTTGCCATATCTAAGACATCTTGCGTTTGCTGTAAGTTACATATGCCAAGGAGAAAAGATGTACAAACTACTCACACACCAAAACTCAAGTTAGCTTAGACAAATGCATCAGTAGAAAGAACCCAGTAGCATATAAGAACAAGACATAGGCTTGACCCATGTAATAAATTGTTACAACAAACTTGTAAGAAGCATTACTAGCATATAAACACGCACCAGAGCATCAGACTCAACTTTACACTAGAAAGACAAATCAAAATTGAACAAACCAGATCAACAAAAAAGAAACAGGATAAACCTTTATAGAATCCACACTCATGGATCCAGTACCTAATCATATTACTAAATAGGGGAAAAAGGTTACCTTAACTCCTGCCCACAAAAGAACTCAGAGTCCGAGACCACAAAAGCACAGACCACTAGCTTAGCTAAACCATTAATAAGAGATAAGAGAGCTTGATACCTGCAAAAAAAAAANATAAATATTCAAATCAGCTACAAGCTCTTCACAACAAAAGGTGATCTTAGTAACTAGGTTACATACAGCGTATGATTAAACTTAGGCAAGTAAAGCTCTGAGCAAAGCTTATCAGCGACATGTTCATTCATCATTATCATGTATTATACATACCACTAGCTTAGCTAAACCTCTAATCTAAGCATCAACAACAGAAAGTTAACATAAGCTTATCTCTTGCCATAGTTTCAAACAAAAAGCATCAGTTTCACTATCCAAAATGATGATAATTGAATCCACAAACCCATCTAAATGAACAGACCAACAAACAACGCTAAACATCAGCCAATTTCTAGTTTCATCCTCTCTCCATTTTTGTACTAAACCCTAAACACAAAAAACAAAGACACTCAACGGATTGATATATCATCTTATGCTACACATCAAATCAAAGACAAACCCAGAGCAACATACAAAACGATTGAAACCCATAAGAAATCAATCGTAAACATATACATAGGAGAGAGAGGAAGCTTACGGGAGAGAGAGCTTGAGGCGTCGAGGGAGAGAGCTTGAGGCGTTGAGAGAGAGAAGCTCGATGCGTCGGAGAGAGAGAGAATGAGTGCTTGAGGCGTCGAGGGAGAGAGCTTGAGACGTCGAGAGAGAGAAGCTCGATGCGTCGGAGAGAGAGAGAGAGAGAGAGAGAGCTCGAGCTCGTGGCTGCGTGCGTCAGGAGAAGCTCGTGGCTGCGTGCGTCGGAGAAGCTCGAGGCTTCGTCGGAGAGTGAGATGAGCTCGAGGTTGGTCGGAGATGGAGATGATCGAGGCTGGAAGGAGATGAAGATTGAAGAGGAGATCTGCGTCAAATGGAGTTGCGGCTGCGTCTATCAGGGTTAGGTTTGTTTGTAAATACTAAATAACGTTAAGGCCAAAAAGGTAAATTACCTTTCTAGCCGCATCATTTGCATCACAGACGCTAGATTTTTCGGCGTCAAACGCAGAAGATGGCGTCAACCGCGGCGTCTAGACGCAGGAGATGGCGTCACGCAAACGAACAAAAAAATTTAAAAAGATAGCCGCAGCCGCAGCCGCAGGTAGCTGCGGCTGCCAAACGAACAACCCTATTGTAGCTGCAAAGCGAGTATCTGATTTGATGACAAGATTCGGTTTTAAACCTGACCATGTAACCATGGTTGCAGTTCTATCGACATGTAACCAAGCGTAAGGCTATTTACGAAGATGTAGTGTGATTATGGCATAGGACTTTGTCTCCAACACTTTTCTTGCATGGTTGATCTCTATGGCAGTTGTATGCTATGCAGCTGTTGGTTCTTGGAGCAACTTTGATGAAGTGAGGACTGTCGTGAGGCCCCTGGGAGTGCTTGGATGGACACAAGCTCTGGGTTTGTAAAAGATCTGATAATGCTTTGTATTCATTCAGATAGTTTTACAATGAGACTTTACATCGCCTTATATACATGACGAAGATCTTAACAAACTAGATACACACTTATCTTCTCTAGTATATTCACAACCGAATATACGTAAGATCCTAATATCTTGAGCTTCAGAATATTCTCTAACTATATCCCAATACCCCTCCTCAAGTTGGAGCATGAAGATTTCTAATGCCCAACTTGAAAAGAAAGGATTGAAATACCTTCCCGCCAAGAGCCTTTGTAAAAATGTCTGCCAACTGATTTAACGTGGATACATGCTTCGTTCGAACTACTCCACGCTGTATATCGTCTCTAATAAAATGGCAATCCAACTCGACATGTTTGGTACGTTCATGAAAAACAGGGTTGGCAGCAATGTGCAGAGTGGAACGTCTGTCACAAAATAAATCCATCGGCCCTTGATGAACAATACCCATTGTGCGAAGAACATTCTTGATCCATTTCAACTCACACAAGGCTTCAACCATTGCTCGATATTCTGCTTCTGCAGAGGAGCGAGATACATCTTGCTTCTTAGATCTCGAGCTTCAGAATATTCTCTAACTATATCCCAATAGTTTGCACTGTTCTTTGTGGGAGACACATCAAGCCCTCAAGCATGTTATAACTATCCTCTGTTACATGGACTGAATCAGCCAAGGATAGACGCTGTTGGTTATGACATGAATGAGGAACTTCGTCAAAAAAGTAGGATGAAGTTGACCCTCGTGAATCTTTATTTAGTTAATAACACATATTCTATTAACACATAATCTATCATCAGACCGAAAACAATCTATACACACATGACCACTTCTAGTTGGACTTGTATATCATTTCCTGGCATTAACACAATTTGGCCAAGAGTGGGGGCTTGCTGGGGAAGTATTTTTTCCTATATACCACAATGACAACTTATATATGTAAGGTAGCTCTACTTCATCATGCAGGAGCTTTATAATTCCTCAGAACTGGTCAGCCAGTTGAGGAAACTTCTGCAGCAGCCAGGTTACTCCTTTTATAGCAGCCTAAACAGAAATACAAAGGATAGTTAATAGTATGTTTTACATAGCAATGTCAAATGCATCAACACAATCAGAAATAAGTAGTGGCTCATATTACCAAAACGGTGTCTCCAGGTTTGATCGCAGGCTCAACACAGTCTCTTCCATATCTGCAGACAAAGCGCCCGGCAATAAACAAATTGGCATTAAGGTCGGTCCATTTTAGTTGTGTAGAGAAGAGAGTGCTTACACAATCTGTCTCTTGCCATCAATAACTTGAAGCCGGTAAAAACTACAACCTTTACTAAACGGGAAGTTCTTCCCTTTCCATTCTGTTTGAGACACTCCAAGAGTTTATCATTACAACAACATATATATAGGCTTTCCGTTTATGTCACGTAACAAAGAAGACTAACCTAAATGCCAAGAAACACCAACAGCTGACGAGTCCTCTTTCGAAATATCATCTATCACGAACTGAAGATCCGTACTTGTTGCTTCGATGAACTTCCCGAAAAACTCTAGAATCGCCTGTATCAACGGTGTTACCAATATTAGGTAAAGAAAGCTCTGAGAGATAACAAAAAAAAAAGGAACTTGTTTACCGTTCGGCCAACGAAAGGGGAAGAGAAAACGAGATCCTCGTAGACGCAGTCCTGAGCGATTAGGTCTGTGACGGAGGATAAGTCATGGACGTTGATAGCGGCGTAGAAGCTCGAGACGACTTCATACGCTGGCGTCAGAGTTGTTTCGAGAACAACGTCTTTGGCTGTCTCTGACGGTGACGTGGCTGCTTTTGCAGCCAGACAAGAGGATGTGAACAGTTGGTGACGTGTACGAGTGAGGATTGTTGGCTTCAGGAGTGTGTTTCTGAGGGAGAAGGAAGGAGGAAGAGGGACGGGAGACGGCAAACAAGGGGCGAGAGATAGAGTGAAGCTCATCGTCGTTTGTCTTGGATTTGATTTACACAGAAGGACCGAATGGCTTTGACATTATTAAAAGCTGATTATCCACAAAATTTGAATTTTGATTCATAAACATGAGGTATAGTAGGTAACATAAATTTTTTGGGATAACATTATGTGAGATAAATTATTCCTAGATGTTTTACAAAAAAAATTAAAGTTGTATGAGAAATAAATTTTAAGTGTAAAAAAATTCTATGAGAAAGAAAATTTATTTCACAAATTTCAATTAAATAAAATGAAGTAGAAAACATTCAGATGTATTATTAACAGAAAATAGTTTAGTTTTTTTTCTTTTAATAAATAATACTTATAACCAATTAAAAAATGCTCTATTTTTTTTGGTTGAACTAGTTTTATTCAAGAGAAATTTTTTTGGATAGTAATTTATTTTTATAAAAATAGTTATTAAGGAGAAAAATTATCAAAATAGATTTTTATTAAAGGATAAATGTTTAATTATATCCTTAAGTTAACTAATCTATATTTAGGGTTTAGTTAAGTGATAGAGTTTTGGGTTTAAAGTTTCAAATTTTAAAAAATAAAAAACAAAAATTATTATTTTAAAATTAAATAAAATATTATTGATCATTTTATTATTTGAAGATTATTTTTGTGACAAAAACTAAAGAAAAAACTTATTTAAGGGAATTATTTTCTATTTATTTTTATTTTTATGTAATGAAGATAAATTATATAAAAACTAGTATTTTTAAAAAAATATTTGTGCAAAAATCTTAAACATCAAGTCCCCAAGTAAATTGAAACAAGTACTCCCTCTGTTTTTGAATAAGTGTCATTTTGACTCTTTACACATAAATTAAGAAAATTGTATAATGGACTAATATATCCCTATTTAATGTATGTTTAGTTAAATGAAAATAATTTAAGTAAAATACTATTAGTTATTCAAAAGGGTAAAAAATAGATTTAATGTACAAAATTACATTGGGATTGTAGAATGACATTTTTTTTGAAACAAAATTAGAAGGCTAAAGTGACACTTATTTAGAAACAGAGGGAGAGGGAGTACTAATTTTCATTTATTGGAATAGTGAATGCTATAAATACTAACGACCACAGCTTAATCAACTGGTGAATGCCAAACATGGAAGTAGTGTCATCTCTCGGATTCCGAGACCTCCCATCCCTCACACTAACCTCAAACCTCAACCACCGTCCTCCTCCTTCCTTCAAACGCAGAGGCCCGGCGAAATATCCTGCCAGACCCGGCAGAGCTAGACGCCCTTCAACATCTCCCGCCAAAAAGCCAAAACCTTTCAACGAAAAAGACGCTTTCCCTTCTTCCCTCCCTCTCCACTCCAAAAACCCACACATCATCCACAGAAACCTCCAAACCCTCGCGAGACAGAACAAACTCGAAGACGCTCTCACGATCCTCGATTATCTCGAACAGAGAGGGATCCCAGTAAACGCGACGACTTTCTCCGCGCTTTTATCCGCCTGTGTTCGCCGGAAGTCGCTGATTCACGGCAAGCAGGTTCACGTCCACATAAGGATTAATGGGTTGGAGAAAAGCGAGTTCCTTGCGACGAAGCTCGTTCATATGTATACTGCGTGTGGTTCGATCGAAGATGCACAGAAGGTGTTCGACGAAAGTTCTAGCTCGAGTGTTTATTCTTGGAACGCGTTGCTTAGAGGGACTGTGATATCTGGGAAGAGGAGGTATCAGGATGTTGTGTCTACGTTTACGGAGATGAGAGAGCAAGGGGTTGATTTGAATGTTTATAGTTTTTCGAATGTGTTCAAGAGTTTTGCTGGTGCTTCTGCTTTGAGGCAGGGGTTGAAGACGCATGCTCTTGCGGTTAAGAATGGTTTGTTTAGTAGTGATTTTCTCAAGACTTCGGTTGTTGATATGTATTTTAAATGTGGTAAAGTAGGGCTTGCGCGTAGAGTGTTTGATGAGATTGGTGAGAGGGATGTAGTTGTGTGGGGTGCGATGATTGCTGGATTGGCTCATAACAAAAGGCAGTGGGAAGCATTGGGGTTGTTTAGGATGATGATAAGTCAAGAAGGAATGTATCCGAACTCTGTTATAATTACAACGGTTCTTCCTGTTCTTGGGGATGTTAAGGCGTTGAAACTGGGAAAGGAGGTCCATGCTCATGTGTTGAAGTCGAGAAATTATGTGGAGCAGCCGTTTGTTCACTCTGGTTTGATTGATTTTTACTGCAAGTGTGGGGATATGGTCTCTGGGAGACGGGTGTTCTATGGCTCTAAACAGAGGAATGCTATTTCTTGGACTGCGTTGATGTCTGGATATGCAGCCAACGGAAGATTTGATCAAGCTTTGAGGTCTATTGTCTGGATGCAGCAAGAAGGTTTTAAGCCAGACGTTGTTACCATTGCTACTGTGCTTCCTGTTTGTGCTGAGCTGAGGGCTGTAAAGCAAGGAAAGGAGATCCATTGTTTTGCTTTAAAGAAACTCTTCTTGCCAAATGTTTCGTTAGTCACTTCCTTGATGGTGATGTACTCAAAGTGCGGTGTTCCAGAGTATCCTGTCAGACTGTTTGACAGGTTGGAGCAAAGGAATGTGAAAGCTTGGACGGCTATGATTGACTGCTATGTGGAAACAGGGGATTTAAAAGCAGGGATTGAAGTGTTTAGATCAATGCTGTTATCAAAACACAGGCCAGATTCTGTTACAATGGGTAGGGTTTTGAGTGTTTGCAGTGAGCTCAAAGCACTAAAGCTGGGGAAGGAGATTCATGGGCACATTCTGAAGAAGGAATTCGAGTCTATCCCTTTTGTTTCTGCAAGAATCATCAAGATGTATGGACAATGTGGAGATCTCAGAAGTGCTAACTTCTCCTTTGATGCTGTTATTGTCAAGGGCTCTCTGACATGGACCGCCATTATAGAAGCTTATGGATGCAATGGACTCCTACGAGACGCAGTGAACTGCTTTGAGAAAATGATATCAGAAGGGTTTGCTCCCAACGCCTTCACCTTTACAGCAGTTTTGTCTATTTGCAGTCAAGCCGGATTTGCTGATGAAGCTTGTCGCTTCTTCAACTTGATGCACCGGACGTACAAATTGCAGCCAACAGAAGATCAGTATTCAATGGTTATAGAACTTCTCAATCGGTTTGGTCGTGTTGAAGAGGCGCAAAGACTTGTTATCATGAGTTCCGCGTCATCCCTACAAACCTGACAGTAAGTTGCTCTTCAAAGATTTCTTAAAAGTATATTATGTTTTCTTGTTTTGCAATAGCTTGGAGTTCATCAACTTGTAAAACATCATGCATTATGAAATGTAGATTTTCTTTACTTAAGATAAGTTAGAATACGAATATATTGTAGTTTCAGGATTCCATACAGCATAATTCCAAACCAAATCCAAACTACTAAACTACAGATCATATTGAATTACATAAGCAATGAGTTTACAAAAAAATGATTAAAAAAAAAATTAGTCACACCTCACAATCTTTAACACAGCTTATTAAATAGAAGCTATGTGTCAATTAGGAACAAACAATATAATTTATAACTATGGGTGAAGAGGTCCATATCTGGGACCCATCAAGCTCATCTGTTCCTTTAGAAGAAGACAAGTGTCCTTCCCTGCATAACTCTGATGAACTTTATTCTTTGCTATAACGTCAGAGACTCAGAATCAACAACCCTTGTTCTTGATTCTAGAAACTAAACCCTAATACTTACGCATTCTAGGCCAGTAACTTAAGCTGCTATGAACCCAATATTGTAAGATGGAGCTGTAGGAACTCTACGAGAGTTTTGTTTTAAAGGTCCCAAAGAGAGTCAGTCTGGTATGTATCCCAAACATTCATCCCCATGTAATTAGCAAACCCCATTGAGTCATCTGTTGAATGCATCAACATGGTAGGAGACCCCAAAGTTGACTCGTTGATCGCTTGAATTTCTCTTGGTGAGAGCCTGACCATCGTTAGACCTGCGTTGGTTGAGCTTGAAGTGTCCACATGCATGGCTGACTCCACTGGCTCTGTTCTTAGGTAGAGTGTTGCCTCATGAGCCGCCATGCGAATGCTGTCTGAGCTCGAGTCTGCAGGACGTGGCAGGCTGCTGACGAACTCAGGGAAGTTGAGACGAGCCTCTCGTCCCCTGAAATGGAACGCTGCAACGTCATAGGCTGTTGCAGCCATTTCAGGAGTCTCGAAACTACCTAGCCAGATACGGTTCTTGGTCCCTGGTTCGCGGATTTCAGACACCCATTTGCCCCATTTCCTCTTCCGGACTCCTCTGTAGGCAGAGGGTATACCGGATTGACCATTTCGTGCACTGTTACTAAAATCACTAAGACCAGCCATGAACACACACACAAACACTGGCAAGGTTTTTCTCAAAATGTTTAATCTTTTTGTAATTTGTTGGATTCTGGTGTTGGTATGTTGACAATGTTTGCAGTTATATTTATAGGTGTGGGATTAGCATCATCTTAAAACAGCAGATAAAGCGTGTACATGTTTTATAATATCTCAAAGCTTCAGTAAGTGTAGCTTCCAGGAAACTTCAGAGATGGGTTGTGGGTTTAACAAGTGTTATGTCTCAAATGGAGATACTGTAGATTCACTTAAATAGTAATATTGTGATTATAATAATGAGAATCTAAAGGAATGAGTCAGAATCTGGATTGTGTGTTTAATATTGAAAAGAAGTGTAGTGAAGAAATGGAAGTAGTAGACAGTTGATGTGTTTGGATTTTTGCTATAGAAGACGCGGTTTTGTTGCATCACCTGTGGACCCTTTTATCATATATTTCATAACTTGTGATGGTAAGGGTTGGTGGAGAAAGTGGATTTATCCTCAAACAAATGTCAAGGTTCATTGGTTCATATACTCTTCCAGAGTCAATTCAACAAGAATAAATAAATTATTGGCAATTCCCATCTTTGGTGGTAATAAATAAATTCACAAACTCTCTACTCAATTAGAAAATAAGAGAAAAGTCATTTGTATATTTTTTTGGCCTATGGGAGTATACATGGATTTTAATATATCCATTCAAATCAGATTTATGGGTTTAACCTCTTTAACTACACTCTCTACTCAATTAGAAAATAAATGAAAAGTCATTTATTAATATTTTTGGCCTGTGAGAGTATACATGGATATTAGTATATCCATTCGAATTCAAATCAAATTTATGGGTTAAAACTCTTTAACCACATTTGAGTTTTATATATGTTGCGGTCATTTTCAATTAATACTTTAGGTTTATTTAAATCTTATGTATTAAAACAGAAGTCATGACTTGACTTCATGTGTGATTTTTTTAAAAATGGAATACTACTAGAAAGTCATGTTACATTAACTCTCTAATAATATTATCATTATTATATCTTATGAAAAATCATATCTTTAATAACAAAGATACCCTTAACAATTTGATTTTGGTAAATTACCCCACACTTTCCAGTTTAGTCAGGCATAATATGTCAATATATATATAAGTTTATGAATCTTCTATTATTTATAAGGAAATATGTCAATAATAGTTAAATGCATCAACAATATATTACAAAAATCACACCCGCGCGGTTGTGCGGGTAAAAATCTAGTTTAATAATTATATCTAAACTGATATTGGATTCAAACTTGTTACAGATTCAACTATTTGTACAGTGAATCAAAGTAATATGAAATTAAACGTTTGAAATATGTATTTATATTTTGAGTATTCTTTTATATACTAGTTTTTGAATTTCTAAATTAGTTTTTATTTGTATTTTGGATATTCTTTTACATACTAAGTTTTGAATTTCTAAATTAATTTTTCAAAATTTTAAATTTTCCTGATTCCCTAAGTTTTCTGAATACCTTTTTAAGTTTTAGTTGGATGCATATAATATATGATATCCAAATATTGCTTCACATGATTCATTTACATATATGTAAAATATATGCCATAATCCATTTTTTTCTTTAAAAATATTTAATTAATAACAAGATAAATGTAAAATATAGTTTGATGATTTGATTAACTTAAGAATTTCAAAAAAAAAATTATTAACTAAAATATGTTAAATATTTCTAAAGTATTGCAATTAAAATATTATGAATTTTTTACATGATGTATAATTTAATTTAAAGGATGGTAATATATATATATATTAATTTATATATATATATATATTAATTTGAAGATCTATTAAAGGAGATTTCCTACTAAAATATTGTTTTATGATCATTTATACGTTTTAATAAAAATTTAAATAACTGATAAACACAAAATTCAATGTATGATTTTTAACAGTTTAGAGTTTTATAGTAGTTTTAAAAATATAACATGTAAAAAATCTGTATTCTTATTATGTGATTATTGTAAATGTTTAATTCATATTAATAATATAAAATTAAAATAATAGGGGTAGAAAAATTGTTATCGAATCTTTATTATTCAACATCATAATTATCATATATATATATATATATATATATATTTCAAATCAGATTAGATAATTCCATAGTTGTTATTTAAAGAATGAAAGATAAAAATATTTTGTAGACTACTATTGTTAGTCAATAAAGTTGTAAAATATGTTTAGATGAACCAAATAATAAACGGTATATATATAAAAGATAACTTTCAGTTAAGATTCGGTCCGAATATTCACATATAAAAGATTAGGTCCGGATCCGGGGATGATATATGGACGGTTTTGTTTGTACGGTTTATATAAAAGTTATGTGTATTTAATTTAATTGGAACAAAATGTATATAGTCAAATCACATACATATCTATTTGCTTTACAAGAGAACGTACGAGGGAATGGTCTTAGTCTGAAAAGGAGAAACGTTTTTGTTTTATTTGTCGGAAAAGACAGCAGATAAAACGTCAAGGTGAAAGGAGACACCAACAAAGGAATGTTCAATAGCCAAAATAAATAAAATAATTTTACAAAAAAAATGTGACTTTAGTCTTAAGACCACCGACTTCACTTTTGTCTCACATATCTGATTTTCATAAAGATGTAATAATAAAATTATATGTACTTTCTACAAAATCGAAAAAACACTAATCCAAATCTATTTCTCCTTTTCCCTTTTGTTGTTTGTTTGTTTATCCTTTGTAGTTTGTACTATATGGCGTCCTCAGCATAAGCACTAAGGATGGGGGTTTACGCGTTGATGAAAAACAATGTATCAAACCTCAAAACTTCCCTCTTAATAAAAGATTCAATGATGTAAGCTTTGACTCATTACACAACCACCACATACCTTGATGCATTTAGTAGTAAATTTTAATTTGCTACAAACTTTTTCCTCGAAAGAAAAGGTATGGTTCTCAACAATGGAAGATAGTGATTGCGCTTGAGAGATGGATGTGTGCGTGAATGTGAAGTAGTGGTGAGTTGCAGCTGGATTCCTAATAATTTGAGAGACTTTGATATTAATGGTGGTGAGCTGCAGCTGGTATCCCATTTTTTTTGGGTGTGCTTAAAAGTCTTAAATTATTAGTTTAATCCAAAAAAACATGAGTACACTCCTTTCCGTCCGATGAAGGCCCAACAGTTACTAAACAACCTTTGATCTCCTTTGACTATTCTTAGTAATGTCGGCGTCAGAATCGTTTTGACTTATTTATCCTATGGGCTTTAATAAGCCCAATACGTTTTACAAGCCCAATAAGTTTCGAAAAGCCCATAATTACTTCTCCTTAATCGCTCGGTGGGCGTCTCCGTGAGATTACTCGTTGAACCAAATCCGACGGCCAGGTTAATTTCCCGGCGGATCAACGGTTGTTTGAGACAAAATGAGCACCGAGTCGTTTAAAATCGGGCAGCGAGTCCACTCGCTCAACGATCCGTGCCGAGTAGGCACTGTGAAGTACATCGGAGGCGTGGAAGGGTACTCAGGGACCTGGATCGGCGTCGATTGGGATAATGACGGCGACGGAAAACATAACGGGACCGTTAAAGATGTTTTCTATTTTAACGGCCGTTCACAGACCTCTGCGTCCTTTGCTCGATCCGAGAAGCTTAGCAGTGGCATCACTTTGCTTCAAGCGTTGGAGCTTAGATACCAAACCACTTCAACTAAAGATGAAGAAGGTTTGCTGCATTGATTTATCTTTTGTTACATGTTGTTGGTTTTGAACTAATGTTGTCTCTGTTTTTGTGTTAGATGAAATGTATGTTTTGTCTGCGAAGAACAAACGTGTTTCGATACAGCTTTTGGGAGGGGATAAGATTCAGGATAAGTTGAGTCGGCTTGATGAGCTTACGAGTGCTTCTCTTCCTTTTCTTGGTGTTAGCTCTCTTGGTGGTGTTTCATCTGACTTGGGATCAGTTCTACCTAGTAAGATTCCAATCTAGTTTTAGTTAAAACATTCTTGTGTAACGTTACTTATTTTGTTTGGTTTCTTTGTTATAGATTTGAAGTTGCTGGACTTGACTGGAAACTTGATTTCTGATTGGGAGGTAATCAAGTCTTTGCATTGATAGTAACATATCCAATAGCATCAAAAGGATATTCCTTTACAGTTTATGATTTGATCATTTGTTTCTGGCTTACAGGAAATTGGTGCACTTTGTGAACAGTTACCAGCACTTACCACTCTTAATTTGTCTTACAACTCTTTGTCAAGTGAAGTTACTTCTCTGCCGCAGTTGAAAAACATTCGTGTTTTGGTTCTGAATAATACTGGACTGAGCTGGACTCAGGTGATCTATGATTCTTCTCAGATGAACTAATTGAGCACTATAGTCAGTTTTTAATTTTTTGTGTGGCTTTCACCATAATGGAATAGGTTGAAAAGCTTCGGCCTTCGTTACCTGCACTTGAGGAGTTGCATCTGATGGGGAACATGATTTCTTCCATAACGGTAATGTTCTATCTTTTAGTCCTAATCCCTATGCTTGCTCAGTTACTCCAAGACGATACTTGAATGACAATTTGCTTTGAAAGTTTTGGTGTTTAGTTTGTAAACTGTGAACTTTTTTTTGCAGTCAACATCATCCTCAGATGATCAAGTATTTAATTCTCTGCGACTTCTGAACTTGGAGGATAATTGTATCTCCGAGTGGAGTGAAGTATTAAAGCTATCTAAACTTCCATGGTTAGTAATAAATATTTTCCTCTCTACTTGTAGTTGATGAATGATATACATTGCACGTCCTAATTAAAATATGATCATTGAAAATGTTGGTTCTCAGCTTGGAGCACCTTTACCTGAACAAGAATAAGCTTTCACGCATATTTCACTCTGTAAATGGCAATGAATCATCAACGAATAGCAGCGTGCCATTTCCAAGTCTGCGTTGTCTTCTTCTAGGTAATCACTTCAAGTATTATGTCCTCTTTCATGGAATTTGGCAATTTGTCTAACCTCATTGCATTTTTTTGCAGGAGCTAACAACATTGGTGATCTGGCCTCGATAGACGCACTGAATGTGTTTCCTAAGTTGGTGGTACTGATCTTCTGTTCTGTGTAATCTAATATATCAAGCAAAAGCATTAGTTATCTACGGGCATTCTTGCTGTTCCCTGCAATTCTTAGATTGTCATTATGAAAGTTAAGTAGACTTTTAAAACGTGTATACTTTAACTCAACACCGCTCTTCAAGTAATAGGACATCAGGCTTTCGGATAACCCAATAACTGATCTTGCAAGAGACGGTGTCCCGAGATATGTTCTCGTTGCACGGTTGACGAAAGTACAAGTGCTGAATGGGAGTGAGGTAGAACAAGTGCCTGAATCTATTTAGAATATTGTTACCTTTCAACCTTCACTGCTCTTTTTAAATCTGAATCTATTTGTTTTTTTTCAGGTTAGAGCACGTGAGAAAAAGGAATCAGAGATCCGGTAAATCATCAACTCTTCTTTTCCGGCCTGGGGAAAGTTATCCCCCTCTTCTTGGTCAATCAGCGGCAGGAATATGCTTAATTCTGTTTTTGATAATGGCAGGTATGTCCGAATGGTGATTTCAAAGTTCAATAACAAGCCCGAGGAGATTGAGCTGCTCCACCCTAGGTACATTTTTCATAACTATATATATCTTCTTTGTTCTAATCTTCACAAACATATGGTTTCCCAAGCCTGTTTTCTTCAATTCATGCAAGTCTTTGCCAGAAGTTTGATATAAGAAAGTTTACCTGCGTGTGATTGCTAGGTTTAACGAACTCAAGAAACTTCACGAACTTGATGATGAAATAGCATCAGCTGAGAACACCCGCCCGAAGAATATACCATCTGGACTTATCTGTATGTCTTTTTAAATGTTTCTTACGCATGGTTAATTGATACTGTAGAAGCTTCTTTGATATGGCTATTACTTGTAAAGCCATTACTCTCAAATGCGTTGGTCCATCGATGGGGGAAAAGACTCCGTTGACAGACAAGCTACCAAGCAGTATGACGGTTGTTACTCAAGTCTCATTTGTTCTCATGAATCTAAACTGTAAAAGTCTGAAAATAATCGTTAAAAGCTTACTGTTAAATATGTTTGTGAACAGGTTAAGAAGCTAAAGAGTTTATGCGAGAATTTGTTCAAACTCAGGTCTATCAAGCTAAGGCTATTACTTCATGAAGAGGTTCGTGAACAGATCTATTACTGTTTTCTATCTCTATTACGTTCATACCAATGCAACAACTCTATATTTCCATGTTAGGGCTCACCTTTTCCTACACCACTCGATGACGAGACATCAAGATTACTTGACGCTGGAATCTACGACGGATGTACACTTCTTGTCGACGAAGAGAGTTAAGACGATCACGTACACTATTAATCACTATTGCCAAGTGTTCTTTTCAGACAAAACACAACTGATGAATATGATGACGGAATGTTTCATTATAAAGTATTACTGAACTTGAGAAGAGAAAACATAATTTTTAAGAGAGCTCAACAATCTTGGCTCGTTTTCTACTACTTTCTTCACCCTTAGAGCTCTTCTTATCATCATCTTCGTCATCCTCGCTATCACTCTCCACCTCGCTGCTTGAATCTCCACTTCCATTAACCAAACCCTTACCAGCAATAGCTGCTTCAGCAGCTTTGACAGCTTCAGGTGTGTTGAGATCAGCTACACCGAGCATCAAATCCATCTCAATAACTTGAGTCTCATCTCCAGTAAGTGCCTCAAGATCAAAAGCTTCAGAGTTTCCCTCCTCTGCTTCTTGCTCAAGTTTCTTGTTAGCCTCTGCCATGACCCCAAGAAACCCTTTCAACTTGTCAAGAAACTCACTTTTGGGAACTGGAGCTATCGTTGGCTTCGATGGAGGAGCCTTCTCCTCCATCTTCTTCTTCTTCTTCTCCTTACAGATCAAAAGTGCTGAATCAATAGCAGAGGAAGAGGAAGACGGATTCTTGTGTTCCAATTCAAGAAGATCTTTGCTAGTTCCTTTCCTTCCCATAGTTATGAGACTTTGGAGAAGAAAGAGAACTTTGAGTTTGACCTAGTTTGCGTCGTCGCCGCTAACTCGTTTAGGGTTTTGCTACTCGCAGTCGCTGTTATTTATAATAAAGTTTTCGAAAATATAAAAGGAAAATATATTTTATTTTGATAATTTAGAAGGAAACTTTTTTGTTTAATTTTGATATTTAAAAGGAAACTGTTACTCAAATAGAAACATCTTCCTCCTCCTCTCTATATGCTTATTCATATGTTTCGTAAATGAAACTGGCGCGTTGATGATGACACGTGTATCTCAGAGCTTGAGGAGCTTTACCTCCTCTGCTTCACCTTCTCAACTGAATCACTCACTCGTTGAAAGACTGCGTAGGTTAGTAAACTCTAACGATCTCCAACGAGCCTTCTCCTTGTTCTATTCTGCGCCTCTCGAGCTTCAGTCCAACCAAGCTTACGGTGCTCTGTTTCAAGCATGTGCAGAGCAACGCAATCTCCGTCGCGGGATCACCTTACACCACCACATGCTCTCGCACCCCTGTTCTTACTCACATGACCTTTTCCTCGCGAACCATCTCATCACTATGTACACGAAATGCGGGAAAATGTTATACGCGCGCCAGGTGTTCGATGAAATGCCTGAGAGGAATGTAGTTTCGTGGACTTCGTTGATTACAGGGTATGCAAAATCTGGGAATGAACAAGAGGGTTTTAGTCTCTTCTCTGCTATGTTATCCCACTGTTTACCTAACGAGTTTGCGGTGTCGAGCGTGTTGACTTCGTGCAAGTATGAGACTGGAAAGCAGGTACATGGACTTTCTTTGAAGCTAGGTTTGCATTCATCTATTTATGTGGCGAATGCGCTTATCTCTATGTACGGTAGGTGTCGTGACTGTGTCGCTGGATACGAGGCTTGGACTGTGTTTAAGGCCATGAAGTTTAAGAATTTGGTTGCTTGGAACTCAATGATTGCTGCTTTTCAGTGTTGTAATCTTGGGAAAGAGGCTGTTGGTGTTTTTATGCGGATGCGTAGGGATGGAGTAGGGTTTGATCGTGCTACATTGCTTAATGTATGTTCTTCTTTGTACAAAAGCTCTGACTTGGTTCCTGATGAGGTTTCGAAGTGTTGTATTCAGCTGCATTGCCTGAGTGTGAAGTCCGGGTTTGTGACTCAGACTGAAGTGGCTACTGCTTTGGTTAAAGTTTATTCAGAAGTTTTAGGGGAGTTTGCTGAATGCTACAAGCTTTTTGTGGAAATGAGAAACTGTAGAGACATTGTTGCTTGGACTGGGATTATAACAGCGTTTGCAGTGTATGATCCAGAGATGGCTATTCATCTCTTTGGTCAGTTGCGTCAGGAGAAGCTAAGCCCTGACTGGTATACTTTCTCAAGTGTGCTGAAAGCTTGTGCGGGACTTGTCACTGCTCGACAGGCTTTGACTATACATGCTCAAGTCATTAAAGGTGGTTTTGGTGCTGATACAGTGCTGAACAACTCGTTAATCCATGCTTATGCAAAATGTGGCTCTCTTGACTTGTGTAAACGTGTATTTGATGATATGGATTCGCGAGATGTGGTGTCGTGGAACTCAATGCTGAAAGCTTACTCGTTGCACGGACAAGTAGACTCAATTCTACCAGTTTTTCAGCAAATGGACATCAAACCAGATTCAGCGACTTTCATAGCCCTTCTCTCGGCTTGCAGCCACGCTGGACGAGTAGAAGAAGGAATGAAAATATTCAGATCCATGTTTGAGAAGCCTGAAACTCTTCCTCAGCTAAATCATTACGCTTGTGTGATCGACATGCTAGGTCGCGCTGAGCGTTTTACCGAGGCAGAAGAGGTAATCAAGCAGATGCCAATGGTCCCTGATGCCGTAGTTTGGAGTGCACTACTGGGTTCGTGTAGGAAACATGGTAACACACGTTTAGGTAAGTTAGCGGCAGATAAGCTAAAAGAGCTAGAACCAACAAACTCGTTGAGTTACATCCAGATATCAAACATATACAGTGCAGAAGGTAGCTTTAACGAAGCTAGTAAAAGCAGAAAGGAGATGGAGACATGGAGAGTAAGGAAAGAGCCAGGTTTGAGCTGGACTGAGATAGGAAACAAAGTTCACGAATTCGCGTCTGGAGGACGCCGCCGTGCAGACAGAGATGCTATATACAAGGAACTCAATAGACTAATTGGTCGGTTAAAAGAGATGGGTTATGTTCCAGAGATGAGGTCAGCTTTACAAGATATAGAAGAGGAAGAACAGAAGGAAGAGCATTTGTTACATCACAGCGAGAAACTAGCATTAGCTTTTGCTGTGATGGAGGGAAGAAGAAGATCACATGATGGTGGTGTTGCTGTGAATGTGATACAGATAATGAAGAACATAAGGATCTGTATTGATTGCCATAACTTCATGAAACTGGCTTCTAAGCTTCTGGGAAAAGAGATTCTTGTGAGAGACTCGAATCGGTTTCACCATTTTAAAGATTCTTCTTGCTCCTGTAATGACTACTGGTGATCGCCGACAATGAGACATAAATGTTACTTCCATCTCAAGACAAGGACAAGGACTGGTTTGGAAATATTAAAATTATTTTTTAAAGAATTTTAAAAGACTGTTAGGTGTGATGCAATAAAGGAAAATAGTAAAAGAAAAAAACAAAGAGACAAGTTGTCAAGAGAGGTGGGGGAGGAAGAAGACGATCTGATCTTCGATACACCATCGTCTTCCTCCTCGATCCCATTAAGATACGTATTCTTACTTCTGCCTTGTTTGTAGATCTCTTGTCGGATCATCGGTTTGTAACATTGTCGGAATCCGACAGAAATGTCGTTGAACATGAAAACGTTTACTCAAGCTCTAGCAAGAACAGCGGCTGTGATCGAGAAGACGGTGCAAACCACAGTACAGGAAGTCACAGGACCGAAGGCTCTTCAAGACTACGAGCTTCTCGAACAGATCGGTTCCGCTGGTCCTGGCCTCGCTTGGAAGCTGTACGCAGCTAAAGCGCGTGACACCACGCGTTCTCAGCAGTACCCGACGGTATGCGTGTGGATGCTTGATAAGCGAGCTTTGTCTGAGGCTCGTGTCAGAGCTGGGCTGTCTAAGGCAGCTGAAGACGCGTTTCTTGATCTGATTCGAGCTGATGCAGGAAAGTTGGTGAGGTTGAGGCATCCCGGTGTGGTTCACGTGGTGCAGGCGCTTGATGAGAATAAGAACGCTATGGCTTTGGTTACAGAGCCGCTCTTTGCCTCTGTGGCTAATGCGCTTGGGAATGTGGAGAATGTGGCTAATGTGCCGAAAGATCTGAAGTCAATGGTGAGCTTCTTGTTCTCTGTTAGCCTCATGTATCCGTTGTTTCATGTTGTTTGTTGTCATGGCAACTTAATTTGACTTCGACTTTGGCTTCAATACAACTGGTTTTGGTTATCTTTGAAGCTCTTAGAGGGTTTTTATAATTTGGTATAATTGTGTAGGAGATGAGCTTGTTAGAGGTGAAGCATGGTCTGCTCCAGATTTCGGAGACACTGAACTTTCTCCACAACAATGCCAATCTCATCCACCGAGCCATATCTCCCGAGGTTTTTAAGTGATACTTGCTTGTTTTCTTATAAGTTGTATGCATATGTTTAGCTAACATGTGGAACTGTCACTTCCTTGCAGAATGTTCTTATTACTTCAGCTGGTTCTTGGAAGCTCGCCGGATTTGGTTTTGCTATTTCAGCAGCACAGGGTGGAAATTTGGATAACATGCAATCATTCCACTATTCTGTGAGTTCAAAACTTTGACAATGTTACTAGACTGCTACGTCTATTTTGGTGTATTCAACTGTACAGTGTACACGTTAGATAATTTCCTATGTATGATGACTGTTGACTTTTGGTATGGAATTTGCAGGAATATGACGTCGAGGATTCAATGCTGCCAGTCCAGCCGTCACTAAATTACACTGCACCTGAACTAGTGCGCAGCAAAAGTCCTTCAGCTGGAGCTTCTTCGGACATTTTTAGTTTTGGATGCCTTGCCTATCATTTAGTTGCTCGGAAACCGTTGTTAGACTGCAATAACAATGTAAAGATGGTAACTCTAAAACCCGAAATCTTCAGATATAAGTTGTCTGCTATTTTGTGTCTCATGCTAGGTGTCTTAGGAGTACATTCAATTATCCTGTAATGAAATATTTATGTAGATTTCCCACGGTTGATGATGGTTATCTGTAAATTTCGTGCAGTACCTGAACACGCTGAACTATCTAACAAATGAGTCTTTCTCATCTATACCCTCGGACTTGGTATCGGATTTGCAAAGGATGCTATCAATGAACGAGACCTTTAGACCAACAGCATTAGATTTTACAGGTTCGAAGAAATAATCTTGATGTGGTTCTCCTGATTTCTTCGTAAACAGTTTTCTCTCCTTGCTTGTTACTTACATCTTTGCGTTAAACTCTCACTCTGCAGGATCTAGTTTTTTCCGCAGCGACGCTAGGTTACGTGCTCTCCGTTTTCTTGATCACATGCTTGTACGTGTATACACTTCCAATCTTTGTTTCAAAAGGCTGTGCCTAGATGATGGAACATGTATCTCCTCATCTTATAGACGTTTTGAATTTTTTTTAACATTTATTGTAGGAAAAAGAAAACATGCAGAAGTCCGAGTTCTTGAAAGCATTATCAGATATGTGGAAAGATTTTGATTCCCGTGTATTACGGTATAAGGTAGTCACTTTACTGACTTGTTTTTGCGATTTGATAGAACAATGTTTGATGATTAAGTGATTTGTCTTGTAGGTGCTTCCGCCTCTTTGTGCTGAACTTAGGAATTTGGTTTTGCAACCAATCATCTTGCCAATGGTTCTAATTATAGCACAGTCTCAGGTAATTTTAAATTCGGTGAATCAGAGTCCTATGGGTTTCTACACTGGATTGTTGTTGAATTATAGGTGCCAGTGCTTTCTAAATAGAACTAGGTTTCCTTTTCACATACTTTTATACGGTAAAAAGGTCCCCCCTCAATTGTTTTTAGTTGTAACACATGGTGTTTGTTGTTAGATAGTTATTTCTCAACCTGTCACTTTGTACAAAAATTGAACTTTCTTTAGCGATGGTGTTTGATCAATAATGTGTCAACAATGGTGTTTGACTAAATGCTTAATTGTTGCAATCTGAAAATGACGTTTGCAGGATAGGAATGACTTTGAGTTGATAACACTACCGGCTCTTGTTCCTGTTCTGAGTACTGCTTCTGGAGATACATTACTGTTGCTTGTAAAGCATGCAGAGCTTATTACTAACAAGGTAAATGTTGATCAATGTGTATGCATTACTGCATTATATTTTTCTTACCCTGCATCTGTTTATTTCTGCTTAAGGTCTTCCCGAGTCAGACACATCTTTTGACATCTATTTCTGACTTGTCTTTATCGATTGTAATCGAGTTGAAAGCTTCCATATTGATTTTCGATGGGCTGTTCTTTGTTTCTGAATACCAGTTGTATCTATGCATTGAAATCACTATCCCTTCTTTTATAAAACTACAGGATAACATCCTTTGCATATATTTTTGTTTTTCAGACTGATAGCGAGCATCTTGTATCGCATGTCCTCCCTTTGCTTCTCCGAGCCTACAATGATAATGATGTCCGTATACAGGAAGAAGTTCTTAAAAGATCCACAGCTGTCGCTAAGCAACTCGATGGTCAGGTGATGCTTAATGCTTTGTTTTCTATTTTAACTAGAAGAATATTTTTGTCCAAAAAGGTAAATTCAGTTTCTACGTATAGTCTGCACGTAGGATCGGTTGGGTTGGGCAGATTAGTGTCATCAACACTAGATGAGTTCTTTTAGTTAATATTTTTCTCTTTTCCTTCTTGTTTTGCAGGTTGTGAAGGAAGCAATTTTGCCTCGCGTACATGGTTTGGCTCTCAAAACTACAGTTGCTGCGGTATGTTTGATTATCTAAGCCCGATTTTCTTTTTAATGCCACAATATATGTAAAAGAAAGTGAAAGCGGATTTACAGATTCAATCATCTTATGAATTTTTTTGATCCCATCATTTTATGAAAATTTTGATTTGAATGTACTTTTTGTTCAGGTCAGAGTAAATGCTTTACTCTGCTTAGCGGAGCTGGTTCAAACGCTTGATAAACCCGCTGTTATTGAAATTCTGCAAACAGTTCAGCGTTGTACTGCTGTTGATCGTTCTGCACCTACCCTTATGTGTACCCTTGCCATCGCAAACGCAATTCTCAAACAGGTAGGAAACAAGCTCAAATTTCACCTTCATATTTGAAATTTGAACCTCTTGACTTCCCTCTTTTCTGTCTGTGATAGCATCACTATTTCTCTGTCATTGTTCTCTAGTATGGAGTTGAATTCACAGCGGAACATGTGCTTACTTTGATGATGCCGCTTCTTACTGCCCAACAACTTAACGTTCAGCAGTTTGCCAAATATATGCTATTTGTCAAGGATATTCTCAGGTATGCAGTACTTATGAATAGTGTTCTCACGTCCTTACCACTTCGTAGTGTTGTTGTCTTACTATGATCTCTGCTTGTGTTTCTTGGAACAGAAAAATAGAGGAAAAAAGAGGAGTTACAGTGAACGATTCTGGAATCCCAGAGGTGAAACCTCATTCTACTACTGCCAATGGACTCCAGTTTCAGTCGTTGAACCAAACGCCTGAGAAAGTTGCTTCTGCAGCTAAGAGCAGCCCAGCTTGGGATGAAGATTGGGGTTCTCCGAGCAAAGCTTCTGCCGTGGGAAATCATGGATCTTCTCATCAAGTCACAAACAATCAGTTTAACAAATCCTCAAAGCAGTCACAGCCATCGACCATGTCTACTTCGCAAAACAAGGCAACAGCGCCAACCACATGCCCTCCAGTGGATATTGAGTGGCCTCCAAGACAACCTTCAAGTGTCTCTGCTCCAGCTATAGCTGATGAGACACAGCTAAACACAGGAACAACATCTACTCCTGGTTTTGATGAATTAGATCCTTTTGCAAATTGGCCTCCACGTCCCAACAACAACGGCACTTCTGTTGTTTCTACCGGTCTCAACAATGGTACCGCATCTGGTTTTAGCAACAATTTAACAGCCGGCACTTCTTTTCAGACAGCTAACAATGACAATTGGGCATTCAGTAACGCCTCCTTGTCTTCACTAAAACCACCCCAGCAAAGACAGAGCCAAGGAGTGCCATCTTTCTCCAGCGGTTCTAACAATAACCAAAAGCCAGCAGACATCAGTTCCATATTCAGTTCAAGCAAAAACGGTCAGCCTGCAATGAAACTCGCGCCACCACCTTCGACAGCAATGGGAAGAGGAAGGGGAAGAGGTAGAGGTGGAAACTCAAAGCCCAATGGTTCACAAACATCTCTACTGGATCTTCTATGACCAAAGGCTCCAGGAGTTGGTGTTTGGTCGTGCAGTGAATAGAAGCTTGTACACATTGAAAACCTTACTACAGCTTCATGTTCTATAAACATCTTCGGGGATTAGTTCTTTTCACATATAAACCTTACTACAGCTTCATGTGTTTCAGGTTGTTTCTGTCTCTCTCAAATTGTGTAAATTTTGTTCTAATTGCTTTTTTGCTCTCACGTTGCTTCTTTGGTCATTCGGCTGTTACGCTGTTTTCATGTATACGGGTTTTCTTAAATATAAAATTGAGTTATCGTTTCAAATGTCTGCATCTTTTAAGAAATCGAGATCGTTATGAGAAAGGATAGTGTGACTGACATGTGGGGGCAAGCAACCTGCTCAGTGTAAGGTAAAGTGTGAAAAAGAAGAGAAATCCAGTGAAATACGGTAGGACAGAGTTAATCTGTGTTTAATAAGAGAAAGAAGACTTTTTCTTGGACTATGTAAACACAATTCCTATGAACCTGTGATCCTAAAAGTTGATAAGTTCTATCTTTAAGAGATTGTAAGACTTTTTCACTGGACTGCGACAAGTTGAAGATTTGAGTAGGAGGAAAATCATGTGTGTACATTTTCAAGCCAAGATACAGTCATTACCACCAAAATGTTTATTACAAAACTATTACAGAGAAAATGACAAACAACTGAAGAAGTCTTTTGGAAAATTCAGTACAAATACGAAGACAACATATGCCTTTAGAAATGCTTTTATTAGAGAGACTACAAGAGATGGGCTTAACGAGCACTTGTGACGACTCTGATTTTTCTTCGACCAAACTAGTTGTGTGAAGCAAAGATATGTCCAATCACCAATCCACAAAACACACCAGGTCCATATGCTATTGCAGCTGCAATCCAGCTGAACATTTGTTCCTCTGCCTCTGACAATTCCTCAGATTGATGTGATGTAGGATTAGGGACATGGCTTTCTTGACATATTTCTTCGAGTCCGTAGAGTCCAGGATTGTCCAGAAACGAAGAGCATTTCTGCCTTTGGAATTGTGTGCCTCGTGGAACTGGACCTTGGAGAGAGTTATGGGAGAAGTTCATGTATGATAGAAACGAGAGGTTGCCAAGATCTTGAGGGATTTGACCTGATAGTTTATTACTAGAGAGGTCTAACGTCTCGAGATTTGTCAAATTTGACCAATGTCGTGGAATATCCTTAGTGAATGCGTTGTCTGACAAGTTGAGAAGACGTAGTTCCTTTAAACAGCTAACGGATTCAGGAATTTTGCCAGAAATTCTATTTCCAGAAAAATCAATAGCTCTGAAGTCTTTTAGGATCCGCTCAAAATTCATATCAACTCCTTTATTCACCATTTCCATCGAGTGATAGACAGAATCATAATAAATAGTACCATAAGTGTCCCACGATGTTTTGTAACCAATACTGGCGAAATAGTACTTGTCGGTTTCTTCGGTTAGTAATGTGCTCATTTCAAGCCAGTTGGAAAAATAGTGAGGTGGAAGAGTTCCAGTGAAATCATTTTGTGAAATATCCATTACTCTTAGACTCTCAAACCCAATGGACACATGGGGATGATACAAAGGCCCATAGAACATGTTTGATCTGAGGATGAGAACATGTATTGATGGCAAAGATCCCAACCAAAATGGAAACTCGTCTTTGATTTTGTTGTTTTCCACATTCACAATTTGCAAAGCCTTGCAACTGATCAAGGACTTTGGAAAACTTCCTTCCAAATGGTTGTAACTAAAATCGAATGATTCTAACTTGATAGCATCGGAAAATATATCTGGAATAACTCCACTGAAACTGTTGTTACGCAGAATTAGGTCTATAAGAAAAACAGTAGAATGTCTTAAACATGGAGGAATGGACCCTTTGAAGAGATTGTTAGACAAATCTAGTAAGCTTAACTTTTTGAGCTTGCATATTAAATGTGGAAATGGTCCTTGGAATGAATTTGAACTCAAATCCAACATTTGAATAAGTGGGTCTTTTGAAGGGTTTTCAAAACTGCTGAAATAATTGTGAGAAAGAGTCACAGTTGTCAATCTCCATAGGAAACCAGGTACTTCAGCTTTCAACATGTTGTTGGAAAGATGCAATTCTTTGAGGTTGACTAACTTTGATATAGATCTAGGGATTGACCCGCTGAAATTATTGTGGTTAAGATGTATTTGGCTGAGGTGGAGAAATTTGGATATGGACTCCGGGATTGGGCCGTCTAATCTATTTTTGGCAAGGCTTAGAAAATGAAGCTTAGATGATGATGATGAAGATGTATTCACAAATTCTAAAGGTCCTGTGAATTGATTTCCTCCCAAATCAACAGACGTTAACAAAGGATTCAAGAACAAAGACTTAGGAAAAGGTCCAAAAAATGAGTTTTCATTGATATCGAAATACTCCATATTCATGAATTCACTCATGTTTAATGGAAGCGTGGATGTGAAGTTATTAAAGTTGAGGCTAAAAAAGGAAAGCTTCGTTAAATTGGCTAAAAGAATAGGAATATCGCCACTTAACTTGTTGCCACCAAGGGACAAGAACCTTAGCTTGTTTAAATTTCCGATTGAAATCGTAACTTCACCTACCAAATGATTATCGGAAAGGTCAAGTTCAACGAGATGAGAAAGGTTTCCTAGAGAAGAAGGAATCTCTCCGTGGAGATTACAACCTATGAGGTTTAGCTGACGAAGAGATTGGAGTCTAAAGAGACTACTATTAGTTTTTAAAGAGCTGTTGAGAAGAATGTATTGAAGGTCTAGTGATATCACCTGGCCGGATCTATGATTGCATGTGACACCTTCCCAAAAACAGCAATCACTGTTCTTATCCAATGCAAATGTATAATCACTAGTTGGAAACTCGTCGATGAATTCCAAAAGAGCATCCCTCTGGTCATGCTTGCATAAGTGGTGCGGAGGGGAAGCAAGAGTGTGGATTAGGAGGGAGAAATAGATGGTAATCAAGCAATAACACTGGCTTCGAGTCATCATCGTATCTCTTTTTTTTTGTTTTTTTCTGAGTTTGCGTTGTAAGTAATGTGTTATGTTGTATGCATCTTCACTCACTCCCTTAAAAAGAAGAAAATCCTTAGTGGAGATGTGACTAGAAAGTCTTGCGTCAACTCGTCGGTTGATTTCTCTAAGTCTTCCGCTCCCTCTTGTCAATGAAATTGAGTAATGGACCGACCACAAAAGTTTCCAAACAAAAACATTATTTATATATCAGAGTACAATGAAGAATAAGAGCATCTTTAACCCTTGAATCCTCTTGGGGTTCTTAATTTTTTTTTTCTACCATAAGTTTAGCCAATTTCTATTCCAAAAACCAAATACTATATCATCATTCTTCACATGTACATACACTATGTACATGTACCTTTAAATAACACAGAGGAATAGCTTGCATGGAGAGTTGTCGGAGAAGTTGATTAACCTGTGAAAGCCCATTGTTGTGGACGACGACCCATTATGGTTGAACTCTATTTTATAGCCTAAACCAAAAGTCCTATAATATAACTGACAAACACAGACAAATTACGAACAAATATAAACGAATCCTTTGAATAAACATTAGAGATTTTGGAGGGAACTTTAAAAGTATAAGAACTTTAAATTTTGTTGATTTATCTATACTATTATTTGCGAAGTAATTTTTCGCAATGGAGCTCTCACGTTAAAAGTTAGAACGGTTAATATCGATATTACCCTTAATGAATAAATATATAAATCAACTAATAATAAAAACGAATTTAATATTTATTTGATGAGATAAATGATTTAAATTAATAATAATGATAAGAATTATCCATAATCTACATATATATTTAAAAATAAAAAGATTATTCCTATATATATTGTGTTGTTATCTGAAAAATATATTTAATAACAAAAATTTCAAAAACATAAAACACATAAATAAATATTAATTAAGTAAAAACTTTAATTGTATATAACTGAAAATTAAAAAATTAAAAAAATTATAATACATAACTATTTTCAAATTAAAAGAATATAATAATATAATATAATGATATATATATATATTTGTGAAGTTATTTTCGCATGGGCTCACACGTTAAATTAAATTTATTTTTATATTTTATATATAAATAATCCTTAAACATGAATTTATCATAATAAAATAAAAAATCATTCAAAAACAAAAAAAAAACGTGTTTGGCAAAAATAAATTTTAATTGTATTATTATCTAAACTAATATTATTCTTTTTGTAAGATCAATTTTTGAATGTATATTTATCGATTCAATTTTTCAAATTGAAAGATAGATTTCTATATTTTTATTAGTTAAGAAGAAAGGAAATAGACTTTAGATTTTTTAAAGTTTAAAAGGAAGAAGTATATTTTTTAATTTGTGAATAAATTTATCATGTAAAAAAATAAATGTTTTAGGTTAAATTTTTTGGATGCAAATATCATTTATTTTGATGATTTTTAAATAGATTTAAAGATAGTTAAATCCGCATGTGCGGGCAAAACACCTAGTTTTCTTTATTCATATAATGTTTAAAATTTATCTAATAAGTTCTGTATATATACAAAATATGAATTATATCTTATAAATAAATATTAACTTTCTTAATAACCATAGAAAAAAATATATTTATAGTGATCCCATCATCTAATACTCTTATACAAACTCACAGTAACACTTCTACGATGCATGAACCAGTCATACTGTTTTAATCAATCATAGAACATAGTCTGGAAACAATCTATTTGTTTTTAAATGTGATAAGCCAATCAGAAGTAACAACATGAAATAATAAAAATGTTAGAAAATATGAAATAACAACAAATCTTGCGAAGAAGGTATAGAAACACCTTTTTAGCAAATATAAATCATATGAGAGTTAGAAAACCAATAAAAATTCATCAAGTTGTCTCACTGGGTAGGGCCATAAGAGGGTGGAACAGAAACACTGTTGCTTAGTTTTGAAATCGCATCTTCCATTGGTCTCATGCAGCCGCTTTATCTCTTACGGGGGTCGGGGGAAATGTATAATACTAGGTATACGAGTCCTAGTGACATCGAATGATAACAATCACAAATAACAGATCTTTCCTCACGCTCTGCTTAGACCGTGGTAAGTAGATCATACACCCCATAACAATCATCATTGTAACAACATCGAGCAAACACCTTGTCCCCTTTTTATTAGTTTTTTTTCTTTCGCTTTTGTTATTACACAAACACTCCCAGGAAAAATGAGGGAGGGTCGATGAATTGTTTAATTTAAAATGCATAAAAAGAGGAACTTAAGGAATCAATTTCGTCTCCATTACACTAAACATTCTTTTGATTAAGTCCCAAGACTCGGCGCCGTTATCTTGGCGCCATTCGCTTCTTTATAAATTTAAAATATTATATTTAATTTTAATTATTAATTTTTTATTTGGTAGTTTCTATTAATTATTTTTAAAATCAAATTAATTTAATTTCCAATAATATATACTCCCTCTGTTTTATAATAAATGTCACTTAGACACATTTCACACATATTAAAAAATAATATAATATACTAATATACCCTTATTTATTATATAATTATTTAAATAAAAATTTATTGGTTAGTTAAAAGGGTAAGAAAGAGATTTAATGTAAAAATATGCATTGAATGACATTTATTTTGAAACAAAATAAAAAAAAAGTTAAAATGATATTCTTTTTGAAACAGAGGGAATATATTAAAAACTAGAATTTTAGCAAAAAAACTAGAATTTTATAAAATTCCCAATACAATATAATAAGCCTCTCTAAGTTTTTTTTTTTGAACTAAAAGCCTCTCTAAGTTTCCGTTATCATTAAAATGCTTTTTAATGATTTGTAGTCTTAGATAGTCCTACTTTTCTACACAAGAATTTTTCAACTCATTTATATTTGATTCTATATTCTAACCAGGACTGATTCTAACACACTTCTATTTTTTCTTTAAAATAGAAATGATTACTTTCTCATCTATATATTAGATGTCGAAATCTCCCCATTTGTCTTTTACAGGAAATCACACGAGAAACTTCTGCTTCTGCGATGGAAATTGTCGGTTCCGGCGAGTGAACTTTCTCATTTACGTTTTGGACCTGTGACCCACCCTAAAACTTTATGTATATCAGAAGATCTGTAGGCCAGTGACACTCTTGTGATAACTGCAAATGATATATATATTCAAATGTAATTAAAAGATCTATTACAAAAACATTAAACAGAACATTGCTTAGATTATTAAAACAAACTAGTAGAAGATCGATCTCATACAAACGAGTCTTTTGGAGAAAACACCTTGGAAAATCAGTACAAACACGAACAAGAACATATGCTTCACAGATTCACAGAGCACCTGCAAGAGATGAGAACTAACGACCACTTCTGGTGACTCTGAGTTTTCTTCGACCAAACTTTTCTGCGAACCATTCTTGATTGTGCGAAGTGAAGATATGCCCGATCACCAACCCGCAGAACACACCAGGTCCGTAGGCTATTGCAGCTGCTACCCAGTTGAAAATTGGTTCTTCCGAGTCCAACACTTCCTCGGGTTGATGTGACGTAGGAACCAACACATTGGGTTTTCTGCAGATATCTTCGAGACCCAAGAGTTCAGGGTTGTCCAAGAACGAAGAACAGTTCTGGCTTTGAAACTGTGTGCCTCGTGGCACTGAACCTTGGAGATGATTATGAGAGAAATTCATGTACGATAGAAAGGAGAGTTTACCAAGTTCTTGAGGGATTTCACCTGATAACTTATTACATGACAGGTCTAACGTCTCGAGCTTTTTCAGCTTTGCCAAGGATCGCGGGATCGCGCCTGTGAAGGCGTTACCTGACAAGTTGAGAATAAGGAGTTCCTTCAAAGAGCACAACGATTTGGGTATCTTGCCGTGGATTCTGTTTCCAGAAAAATCAATGGCCCTGAAGTCTTTTCGGATCCGCTCAAAGCTCATCTCTACTCCTTTGATCACCATTTCCACCGATTCATAATTCTCAGGAACAAAAGGAGATGAATCAAAATAAGCATCAAAAAAAGATTGTGACTCCATGTACTGATTATATTCTTCAGTCAAATTATTCATTCCATGCCAGCTGGAAAAATAGTGAGGTGGGAGAGTTCCGGTGAAGTCGTTATGTGAAATATCGATGACTCTTAAACTCTTAAACATATGGCGATGATGATGATGACGATGATGATACAACGGCCCAAAGAAGTTGTTGCATCGAAGGCTGAGAACATTTAATGACGGCAAAGATCCCAGCCAGTGTGGAAACTTGTCCTTGAATCTGTTGCTTCCCACATTCACATGTTGCAGAGCTTTGCAGTGGATCAAAGACTTTGGGAAGTTCCCTTCGAGATGGTTGCGACTAACATCTAGTGATACTAAACTGGTAGTATTAGCAAATATATCTGGAAGAGTTCCAGTGAAGTTGTTGTTTCCAAGAGTTAGTTCCATAAGATGATAAGCGAAGATGCTTAAACATGGAGGAATGGAGCCGCTGAAGAGGTTGTTGGACAGATCTAAATGCTCTAACCAGGAAAACTTGCACACCCAATTGGGAAATGGTCCTCTGAATGAATTCGAATTCAGATCCAACCTATGGATATTTGTTGATTCTTCTGAAACGTTTTCAAAACTGCTGAAATAATTGTGAGAAAGCATCACCGTCGGAAAATTCCATAAGCAAGATGGTACTTCACCTTCCAACTTGTTCTTGGCAAAATCAAGATGACGGAGGTATACTAACTTTGATATAGATCTAGGGATTGGTCCAGTGAAATTGTTTCGTGAAAGATCTAGGTCTTGAAGGTTGAGAAATCTAGATATGGATTCTGGGATTGGGCCATCGAATTTGTTACTAGCAAGGACAAGATCCTCTAGCTTAAACAATGGGGAAGAAGATGTATTCTCGAAATCTATAGGTCCTGTGAATTGGTTTTTTTCCAAATGAACTAAAACTAAAGAGGAAATGGTGAACAAGGATTTAGGGAAAGGCCCGAAAAATGAGTTTTCACTGACATCGAACCAGTCCAAGTTGTGCAGTCCACTCATGTTGGAGGGAAGGGTGGATGTTAAATTATTAGAGTTGAGTGAAATACGGGTAAGCTTTGTTAAATTGGCTAATGAAACAGAAAAACTGCCATGTAAGCTGTTTTCCCCAAGGGACAGGCCTTCCAGTTCGGTTAGGTGTCCGATGGAAACCGGAACTTCACCTACCAGATGATTGGACGCGAGATTAAGATACTCGAGACCCGAAAAGGTTCCTATTGAAGAAGGAATCTCTCCTTGGAGACTGCAATTAATAAGGGTTAAATCACGAAGATATTGGAGTTTGAAAAGGCTACTGTTCGTTTTTATGGGTCCGTTAAGAGATTTATCAGAAAGGTCGAGTGATATAACCTGACCAGATTTATTATGGCACTCGACTCCCTCCCAAAAACAACAATCGCTGCTTTTGTTCCACGAACTTGGAAAAGACTTAGCAGTAGGAAACTCATGCATGAATTCCAAAAGAGCATCCCTCTGGTCGTGGCGGCAAAAGTGGAGCCTCGGAGAAGCAAGAGTACTTTGGATTACAATGGAGACAAAGATGGTAATAATAATAGAAAAGGGATAACAATGGTTTCGAATCACCATCTCTCTTTTTGAGTTTTGTGTTGTAAAAGTAATGAGTTATGCTGCTGTATGCTTCACTGGTTCCCTAACTCTCTTTAAGAAGGAAGTTATAACGTATTGACTTGGTTAGTCTTGCGTCAAGTCGTCGTTGCTTGGCCAAGTCTTCGTCGTCAATGAATATTCGCTTCTCTCGTTTTCTACATCCACTTAAACCCAAATATCACTTAACGTTTTATTTAAGTTCTGTACATCTCTTTTTTTCCTTTTGCTAAATTCATTGATACTTGGAAACCATTCGAAAAAGATTCATGCTTTCATTCTAAACTCTAAAGATTTCATCAAGTCAATTATACCCATGCTAAATAACATGATACATTTTAGAGAAACTTTAAAAGTATAATTTTTATTGATTGGTCTTTTTAATTTTTGTAACAAATTCTGTATATATAGAATAGAAAATCTACATTAATATTAAATTTCATGTTATCTATAAGAAAATAAATACTCATAATCCCAAGATATATTGTACTACTTCTACAATGCATCATTCTTGGGTTCACCATTCAATAGGATTATATTATTCATATTTGATATCTTTAAAAAAAAAAATAGTATTAAGTTATATTATGTTTTTAAAAATAAAAATAAAAATTAAATTAAAAATAATAATAATTAAAAAAAAATGGAAATAATTAAAAAAAATTAACACTAAACCCTAAACTATAATCCTATACCCTAATCTCTTGGTTAAATCATAAATCGTTGGATAAATCTTATAGTGTTTTAAAATTTTAGTGTTTATGATTTACCCAATAGTTTATGATTTAGGATTAGAGTTTAGTATTTATGATTTACCTAAGGGTTTAGGGTTTAGGATTAGAGTTTAGGGTTTAGTGTTAAAATATTTTTTAAAAAAAAATATTTTCATTTTTATTACTTATTATTATTATTTTTTGTATTTTTCTTTTTAAAAACATAATATAACTTAACAAGATTTCCTTTTTTTTTAAAGATATCAAATATGAAATAATGCAATTTTATTGGAGGGTGAACCCAAGAGTAACTCATCAACTAATCCTACTTTTTAATTAATCATAGCGCATATTCGTGGTAACCGTCGATTGCTTGTTCCAGTCAACCATCTGTGATATAGCCATTCAGAAGTAACAACATCAAATAACAACATGTGTAAATAAAAACATGAAATAACTACGAGGAAGAAGGTAAAAGAAACACATTTTTATTGTTAGATTCGAGTTTAATATGAGCTTCCAATTTAAAATTAATTGGTATAATAAATGGATTGTTCTTAACTCTTTATATATTACAAGTCATTATACTGGTAACCCGTATTTAAAATTTCGACTCTAGTACCATATTAGATTCGGTTTAATATGAGTTTTCAACTTAAAACTCATTGTTGTAAATAAATTAGTCATAATCCTTTATATATAATTTAAAGTTTCATTAAACTTTTGACGTGGATACTTTATCCTAATATTTAGCAAATATAAAATCACGGGTGTTAGTAAACCAATTAAAATTCTTCATGTTCTACGGCATCACTGGGTACGTAGGGCCATGGCGGAGGGAAGTCTGAGTATGTGTGAAGGAAATAAGTTGTTGCTTAGTTTTGAAATCGCGTCTTTCATTAGTCTCTCATGCAACCCCTTTTTCTTTTACGATGGGAAATGTATAATAATATGGTATTCCAGTCCTATTAGTGACATCGAATGATTACAGTCACTAATAAGATATTACTTGATATGTTGCATATTTGCTTAGTCTTAGTCTTGCATTTTCAATTATATTGAGCATATAGTTTAGATTTAGGCATCTCTAGGTTGCATATTGCATACATTTGTCTTTATCAGGTCATGGAGCAAGCTATGGAGTCTCTGGAGGTGTTTGGGGTCGATTACATGTCAAAAGAAGGTGCAAAAGTGTCATTTTGGCGAGCCGGAGCAACCACAGCGGAGTCAAGAGGTCGCTGCAAGGAGCACCAGCCGGAGCGGGGTCGTGCAGCGGACCCGGAGGTCGCTCCAGACCGCAGCGGAGTGAAGGCAGCGGGGGCAAGGGGGTCGCACGATATTCTGACGACCAAAAGAGAGAGAGCCCGGAGCAGACCCTGGCAGCGGGGTTGCACGGCCGCTCCCTCCTGGAGCGGAGCTGTTACTGCGGGGGCACGGGGGTCGCACGATATTCTGACGACCAAAAGAGAGAGAGCCCGGAGCGGACCCTGGCAGCGGGTCCTGACCCCGCTGTGAGCCCTGGAGCGGGGTCGTGCAGCGGAGGTCGCAGGGCCGCTGCGCGTCTCTTGTAT